GATAATTGATATTTGAAATATTTATTTAGATAGCGTTACAGCTCAGTGATTGGTCGATTACTTTCTCTTTCGCGTTCCTGTGACAACGCAAAGACGTCTTCCTCGGTCACGAATGAAAAGGAGCGTATTCGCGTGCCCACGTGCCGCCCACATCGCTATTCAACCGCGTTAAGCTCGAACGCTCGCGAGCCGTTCTAAGAACCATCCGTTTATTGGCAGTCGTTTCAAATTCAAATCAGTTCCTGCCTGTTTCCCGCGTGTTGACGTGTATTAATTGCCGACTTTCCATTTTGAACCTGTTCCTACGTAACTCTATTCATTTCATGAAAAGTATTCCCCGCGTCCAAGGCTCCTCTGATCACACAGAATTATTTATCACCTTTGCTTCAAACATTTTATTATCCGCAAATAATATAAAAAAGTGCCGAAACATCACGCTATAAATCAGATGTAATACATTTCACCCGATAAAGGGTTTCTGTACACCCTATTTATGGCACCATTCACCATCGCGGCTACAAATAGAAGAGACGCGTTTCACTTTTCGCCATAACTCTTCCTCGATTAAATAGCTCCAGGTAGATAAAACTATTTCCGATACCTAGACGTTATCTAGCCCCTATCGATCGATCTATCGACGATGGAGAATCGTGCCTTTCCGTGAATGGCCTGTTATTCCGTCGCGTGCATGCCTCTCGTAGCAGGTGACTACGAAGAAAAAGGAGGCAATCGTGAAAGTTTTGCACAGTCGAGCAGAACTACTTGTCCAAGAGTATCGTGCCTCTCGGTTAATTGTCTCGGAAGGTGTTTTCCACCTTTCGTTTATCTCTAGTCCCGAAGGACTTCCGTTAAATCACTAAAACCCGACCAACCAGAAGGTTCTTGAATTTTCATTATGTCTATCGGTACACACTTCCGGTTGAACCCCACGTATACTTGAGAATATTTTACTTATTCCAGTTCTTAGGAAAATTTAAAGTAATTTAAAAAATTTTTAACTTATAGAAACGTCTTGTTAGAATTTTCTTCGTTTTTATTTATTTCCAATAATATCTTCTGAATTTTCAAAATATTCTGATATTCATTAAAAAGAAAGAAGTGTTCAACTTACCCCCTCCCCTAGTTGCGCTACTGAGCGGAGTCACTATAAATTACAATAATTCAAGGAATTCAGTAATGAAATGGTAAGGCAAAAAGAAGGATGAAACAGAGCTACATAGTTTAAGCCAGTTTATAAATTCTATAGTCGGGAGGTTTCCATTTATCTCGACGTAGTTCACATTCCAACGCCAGTCTATCGCATTAACATGTAACTGAGATAGCATGGTTGTGTCATCGCGTGCTACGCTACGGTATCGGAAGAAGCCATACAACTTTCGCAGTCGATAACGATACACAACTCAATTAACAACAAGATATAAACGCATCGATTCTATAGAAATTTTTACTGTTTACTAGATCTCATTCGCAGATAACGTTTTCATTTAACTTTCAAACCTTCCTACAGTTCTTTTCTATCAGTTTATAAAATATGACATTCATAGTGACATACGGGTATTCAACAAAAATGGAAACATTACATTTTTAATGTAAATGCATGATCTTTTCATCCATGAAACTACATCAATTTCATAGAAATCTCATTCGTAGATAACGTTTTCATTTAACTTTCAAACCTCCCTCCAGTTCTTTTCTATCAGTTTATAAAATTCAGCATCCATGGTGACATAAATGAGGTATTCAACAAAAATGAAAAGATTACATTTTTAGCGTAAGTCTGATCTATAAAACTACTTCAGTTTAACCTGAATTCGTTTCCTTCTTTTTAATAATAATCAGTGATAGGTGAAGGTAGTGAAGGATTAGTTACACAAAGATTATCGTTTTGTATTCAGACTGTAATTTCACTGCATACCTCAAATTTTCAATTTGACTCGATTTATTTCAAATTTCTTTAGCACGAACCACGTAACATCCCTTCCATGTCTCTTCATCGTCAAGATTTCCATTGTTTTTCGAATCAATAGCCCATTCTTACGCAAGCAACGACGAGCTAAGTAAGCAGAAACAAGTAGAATGGCATTGTTCACGAAGCAGCAGCAGCAGCAGCAGCACCAACAGCAGGAGCCGCGTCTCTGGTGGCTGCAAAGTTTCGAACGCGTTCCCTTCCGGTTGACCAATTTCGTCATGCTCTTGAAGGCCAGAGATCGTACTCATAGCAGCACGTGGATTACGTAAGTCGGCAATCGCTTTCCAGCGAATGCAGGACGCCTAGAAACCAGAGAAATGCAGCGGCGAGCAGCTGGGCACGCGCGTGCATTATAATCGTCATGGCACTTCGCCGCCGTCGGACTATTTTGAAGCTGTGTGATTTTTAGAAATATGGGTCACCGGCGTTCCCTTCTCCTCTGGATGTATTACGAGAATGCTGCTCGATGCGTACGCACAATTTCCTTCTCTTCTATACACCATACTACTTCCTCGTTTTACTCTACACACAGGCACGAACGTTTCCCTTTTGATTTTGTCCTATTTTCATGCTCCTCATTCTTGTCTTACCAGATTCTCCGCGATCGTTCTTGCACTTTCCCTTTCCTTCTCGTTCTTCCAAAGAGAATTCCTATCTCCTTTATTTGCATATCTTTTGTTCTTTATTCATGGGGATGAATATTCAATGTAGCTTTATTAGAAGGATTTTAGATTTGTTATCCTTATGATAGCTAGATGATTTAAATTAGGTTATTTTGCAATCTTACGACTCTTTGTTTAAATTTCATTTAATTTAATATTTGATAAAGCGTTAAGCAGCTCTAAAGTCTAAGGAGTAAAGTTTCATTTTCTTTCATTTTCAAGCATGATTGATTGCACACATTAATGGAATTAATGAACTTCTGCAAGGGTAGTGTCTGTGAAATACATTGTTCTTCGGAAATGACCATTCGAAGAGGTTCTATTGGAACGATGCAGTCCGCGGAAGCGGAAAATAACACTTCCAACAACAGTCGCAACGTGATTACAAATATGGCGTCCTAGGTTGCTTGACTATTTTTAAAACGACGTTCAGCTTTCGCCTACGACTTCCCAAGTGGCTTGCCACTATTTTTCCTCTTTTTGTTTTTGCTTTGTTCGCCGTTATTTTGGAAATATCAATTCAACTTGCATATTCTACACCTTGAAATACAATCGTTCAAAATAAGGATATTTTTAGCAAAGAAAATTTTTACAATTCAAAAGGAAAGTCAAGATAATTATTGCTACATTATTATTGCTATTTTTTCATATAATGCAGGTTGTTCTATTTTCGAAGTCTTAGAGTGTCGCAAGCATAGATTCAATGTGTTACGTATCTAATACGGACCACCTGATTCCAGATTCAAGAGATTATCGTGTTGCACACACGGAAACGGTGGATCTGGACCAAATGATGCGCGGATAAATTTAGCGGATTAGCCGCATTAGCCCGGATTGTTGACCCGTAAGACGCCCATTCGTACGTTGAACCCATTCCATGGAAGCCACGGAGATTCTGAATGAGAAAAACCCGTATACCAGCCAACGTCTTAACAGTCACTTTAAAACGGATTAAAAGATTCACAGAACTGTAATTACGGATCCTAATCTGCTTCGTAATTATCGAACTTAACATTTAGATTGACTCTATCCGTTTATTTTCTCACGATGTATCAATTTTGTATAAATTTTCAACTTCCTCTTCCCACCAGTACATTGCAAATCATTATGCAAATGTATGTTTATCCAATTGGTTGACAGTAATCGTCTTAATTCACACGTTTTATATCTTTTACGTTGGTTTTGCAATATCAATTATAATTCACCAAGTTTTCCTATAATCTTGTTCAGAGGTATAGAAACAGTCATTTTCTTTTTATTTGTTAAACAAGTAATCTTTTATTAATGCATTGAAAGTAACTGTTTGTAAAGAAAAGTTATTAAAAATCTATGATTTATTCTTCTAAAACTCTCTTTAACTGCTTCCAAACTTTTTAAAAAACGTGCTTACAACCTTCTTTCATTTAGCAGAATAATAAAATTGTAATGATACAAGGATCGATATAGCTGTCTCCGCCAATTAAGGCCGAACTTTGACGCGGTTTAATTAAAAGTGGCAATCAAAAGCTTTACTTATTGCAAACCGGTAACAAAGGGAACTACTTCACCACGGAACTCCAAACTCGTAGGTCGTGTTTTAGTTTCCCCTGGAAACTTCACGAAATTGTTGCTTATTCGTGGTACACTTGGTACCGAATAGTTCTGCTCGATATCAGTGTTTCGAAACAGGGAATTTCCAATTTTCCCTGACAGTCCTTTCGAAGTAGATGTTTGAAAAACTTTTTCAGTAGAAATGAAGTGGCGGTAGAGGCAAAAATTTTCTCGCAAGATTTTCTCGATCGATAAAATGAGGAAACGTTTAAATTGTCGAGCGTACGAACGAGTTTTCCAGCACGTTGGATACGCGTCTAGGTAGCAAAGTGGTGATGGTTTAAAATTAGGTAACGAGTTTCGTGGTCCCCGTTTCGAGATCCCGCGATATAAAGGCCGTCTCTTTGCTCGTAGCTCGTTCCCCAATGACACGTTGCTCGAAAAGCAACAGCGATTACGTGGAAAGCAGCTAATGCTTAACTGGCAATAATTTCTGCGATGATGCTTTATGCATCGTCGGAAATGAGAACGCGAAGAAAGCTTCCAATTTAACACTTGAACTGTTAACATTGAATGCGTGTACCTCCCTCCACTCTGTTTAAATTAAACGTAGAAGTTATTTAATTATATTAAAAATCACAGGAAATGTTTATTATATATTATAAAATATTATAAATTAAAAATCGGGGGTTGGAATAAATAATATTTTAATTTGAATTATTACTTGTATGTCATCAAATTACGTTAGAGTATTAAATAGAAAATTTGATGATTGAATTGCAAATATAAATAAAAAGAATATTTTTCAAGTGTTAATTTTCTTGCTATTTTTTTTGCAGCTCGATGACACGGCACTCCAGTTATACAAAGACGGCGATTATGGCGCTTACTTGGATCTCGAGGCCTCCATCAGTGAACAGCAAGAAGAATTCGAAGGCTTCCAGACAAAGTGAGTCTTATAAACAATCTTCTATCATTTGTAACATTCGACACATTTTGAATCATGACGTAGACATGATTTACTACCCTAGTTAAGTCGAAACAAGATCAATACTTTCACTAATCATGCGATTGACATTGAACACGATAGATTCATTGCGATAATCAATCATAAACAGTTGTAGAAGAATATTACGTTTAGTAATATATTAGTCATCAGTAACACAGAGGTACGTCTTGGTATTTTGATCCTATGGGATTCGACATACTTTATCTGTTCCGTGTTGGGACAACTGAATTGTACTGGGAACTGTTTCTGAGATATATGGTCGAACTTTAGGGGCATGGTCCTAAGTGAGTGTAAGGATGAAAAGGTATCACGTAAACGTAGGTAGAGTTAGGGTCCTTTCAAGTTATACGTTGAACTTGATTTGTCTTCTTGGGAAGACTGGTCTTCTGGGAAACTGGGGAAATACTATATAATTCAAATTACTTTATACAAGTGAAATATGGTTAGATGTACTCTGAAATGTTTGAAGATTTGCTATTAATTCTCTTTTAATTATAAATTTAATTATTAAAATTACATTCTGAAGGAATGTAAAACCAAGGAATGTTAAGCAATAAGGTCCTAAAGGATTAATTTATGAGCAGTAGTACTTATTTTTTAAATAAATTTTTTAAAATATTTTACTTATCATAAAGAAATTTCTGGGGAGTATAAAAAGAAGATTTATTCTATATTTTCAATTGAGTCTCTTTCTGATTTTACTACGATTATTGAAACACCTTTTATAAAGAAAAGAGAGAAATCATGAAAATATAATTTTTCTTTTCACAAAATCAGAAACTCTTCAGCAACGAGACAGGAAACCGATTTTATTTCAAAGTTCATACACGCTAAAACTGTATTCGTGTATCGGATTCGCGTTAAGGTTACACCTTGCTGCTCAATATCGAAACTTTGTCGGTTATCCGGCTGGAGAAGCATCGGATTTAGGTTCTCCTCTTTCAAGAATCCTCGGATCAAACGTGTTTCCAACGATTTTCCTTCTTCGAAACGCCCACCCGTGTCCTCTCACGTATGGCACAATAGTAGCTGGCAGGCGCGAAAAACTCATCGCGTTTATTGTGTACGGTTCTCGCGAGGGATTGACTTCCTCCTTGGTCTCTAGTCGATATGAATTACTCATTGGATGAAAATTACATCCTACGAGATGGTGTTCTCCTCGAGAACATAGTTAACGATCTTATGCAATCGTGAATCCTCTTCGACGTGTCGATGTGCAATAGGTGGCTCATAAATTTGAACTTTTTTATCATAAGAGGAGTACCATTCGTATGCAATCAGACTTTTAACGAAATAAAAAATGGCTATTAAACATTTATTTTCTATTCCTCTAATTTGTGAATTATAGCAATGATGTTGACTTAGGTAAAATATTTAATCAATTTTAATTTGAAAAAATTAATCATCACTTTTTGTTAATTAATGCCAAATATTGCCAAATAGTATTTACGTTTAAATACTGAAGCTTAATTTGAAGCTTAAAGCTCGATGAAAGTTGTGAATCACTGATACCTTAAAAATTTAATTTGAAAAAACTTATGGCCGAAATCTAATTTAAGAAAAACAAGAACTATCGATATTACAAAGTTTCCTTCAATGTAATAACGATCCCACTAGAAAGCCCTGTTCTTACCAAAATGTTTCCAACCCTCGCTTAATTTGGACCGCAACAATCGCGACATTCTTTCACAATCACCCTTAACATGCCGCGAACACCTGCTACACAAACACTTGAAATCGATGCGAGCGATGGTCGCAGGTGTAGGAGAATTGCCGAAATCCGCGTACAAGAAATAGGCAAATATTATCGGAATAAACAGTATCCAAGGTGGAAGAATTCCATGGAGGATGAACGGAGGGTGGGAGGCATCGTTGACGAAAGGCCAGAAAAGGGTGACAGGAGTGGAGGTTAAATAAATGTTTGTTCAAAGCAACTCGTTCCAATATTTGAAACGACGGAATTTTCACGAAACCGCAAAACGACGTCATATATTTACCACGCTGTTTCCCTTTTTCCATTCTCTTCGAGAACCTCCTGATACAACGACAGGATTTCATGTCTCTTTTTTTTTTCACCCTCGATGCCCATGTCCACCTACACGAGTCAGAGGGCGCGGTTCGTGACTCGTTCCCGTCGAAATGGAAACGCGTTCCATGGTTTTTCCGGCCGATATTGGCTCCGTGGATGAAATTTGTCGACCGACCGTGATGCTGTGTACACCGGGCTGGACACGTCCATAACCCTCGACCATTCCCATTTTCTTTCCGCCTTTCTGGCCTCGCGGAAACGACGAGAAGGAATTCAACTGATTCAACCCCTTTGGTATTCGACTCTCGATGCTATCGGACCCGCTGCCTTTCGAAGGTACCTGGAAGCTCGATTTAACCCTTTCAGTACATGATAAAATAAGAGAACGGTGAAAATCGATATGATTTATACTAATATTCCTTATAAATAATATAAAAATTTATTTATTTATATTGTATTCAGTGTTATTATATAAAATATTCGTGAATTTTGACGCTATTTTACATAACAAAGTGGTTAATTCATTAGAAAATTGAATTTAACGAGCAGAAACCGCGATAAATTTTAACAACACAATTACCGAACACGGTAATTATTTTAATTACATATAAGTAATTATGGGCTGTTTATATAAAAGCAGTGATATACATATATGGATCATTGGCGATTACTGACTAATGTGAACTAATGTGATGTATCCTCTATAAATTATATCATGCGAGAAGGTGTAGCTATAAATGTTCAATAATTACAGCGATTAAACGCTGATGCTCGTTCTAAAACGAACACGTTGAAACCACGGCAATAGCACGTAATTATTAATTAATAACGACCGAGGTACTCTGTAACTCTACGTTTACTTATTTCTTCGTGGTGATTAAACAATTGGACAGATTATAATTTAGTGGTGTATATCAGATTAAATTAATTTACAAAATAATTTTATTATATATACAGTGGGAAACACCTATTAAATATTAAATATTACAAATGTTAAATAGCTGATAGATTCAGATCAGTAAAAGTTAATACTCAAACTATTCTGTAAAATTTTTTAATCTAAAATTTTAGGAGAAAAATTTATAAACGAAATCTCTGATCCAGCTGATTTCCAAATTCGTCAAAACGAAAGATCTCCCTTGCCGCTTTTTCATCGCCACAACTCTCTCTTTCTTTCTCCCTCTACCGTTAAACGTTCAAGTTGTGGCGGTGCCGGAAACGCGTCGCTTTTAGGAGAAACTTTACGTCGATTCGAGCACGGTGGATGGCAGCGGACAATTTGTTACCACGGAAAGTCCGGCTCTTTATGCGGGAAGGTTGGCGAATACACGTAGAAACCGAGCGGTGAATTAATTTTCGCGAAATACAGTGGCTATCACGAGCAGCTCGCACGGACGAGCGTGGGTGGACAATACTCGAGGCATTACCGCTCGAAGACAAACGATTCGTAACCCACGCGAAAGCGGCGCGATTTTCTTACGCGATCCGGTCGCAAATTTTCCGCGGTTGCACGGCTCGCTCGTTCGCACGTACCGCGATTCCGCAATTTCCGAAAGTGACTCACCTGGAAAATTTCCTCGAGAACGAGTGGGTTGAGATTCGACACGGGAACCGAGTCGAGCGTGGACGGCCCTGTAATTTCCCGTTTTAACCGAAGAGGAAAATTGGAAAAGAACCGGTCCCTCTAACTTCAGGGTTAACCAAGAGTTGTTTCATTCCGACGAATCATAATTGACAACGATTACTCGGCCTTCCATCAACCGTAGAATATTCACGGGAATCTGAAGATTCGTAGACTCGAAGTACAATCCCGAGAGTTTATCATCGGTTTCAAACAGTTTTCATCTGTCGCTTCTTCGGTACGCGACACGCGGGAATGGATTGTCGCGAATTCTGCCAGAAATCAAGGTGCAGAAAATTATGGTGATCAATCCCGCGTGAATTAAGAACGCGACGAGGCTGCCGCTCCGGGCGGAATCAAGGGAGAAGCAGAAAACTCGGGTCACGATGGGTTAATTAATTATATTTGTCTCGACGTGCAATCTAGCCACTCGAGTTTCTGTCTTCTGTCGTTTCAGATCATTAACTCATTAACAGATTAACGAACATGACCAAAGTTGCTGTTCAAGAAATTCTGCAGCTCGGTATATCAGACGTGAATATTAGTGTCACTTCCTACATAGAATTTGCCAAGGTGCGAAGACCATTTAAATTTGAATAATTGAATCTTACATAGAAAGATATGAAATCGGGATTAACGGAATCTTAAACAGAATTTCTTCGCCATTTCAATGGTCGGTGTGTTCAGCTGAAAGCATTTTCTCGATGGCCAGTCAGCTAATAAAGTTCGTGTCATCGCGTCTCGTTCTTCGTGTCTTACGTAACTCGTTTGAATGCACGTAGGTACCGGTACAACGTTGGGCCGCGTGTAATTATGATGGAAGCTATATATCCGTCGATGTAACGGCCCTCCGTAAGGGGAAAGGGACAAGGATAGTGGGTACTCTCCCAGGAGTTCAATAACCAGCCACAATAAGTCGCTAAACGTTCGGCATAAACGACGCGATGAGTAATCAGCTTCCTACGTATCGGTCCCGAAGATCGTTTAGGTGTGTACACATGTCCTCGAGTTACGATACCTTATTCGTTATCGGCGAAGGGGCGAGAGGAGGGGAAATGTGCATCGGGTTATTGTTGCGTTTCAGGGGATTCTTATTGTGACGTTACGAGCAAATAGCTTTGAATAGCGAAATAAATAAGGCTGGTTGAAAGCTTTCATTGTGATACGTGATTTCATGTTCTAATCTAACGTATTAGTTATTATGGATATTAATAATTTGTTATTGCTTTGAACATTTGTTAACGCATTGTTCTTGGTATAGTGGAATCTTTGATAACAATAAACAGAGGA